TGTCTTCAGATTGGGGAGCTGCAGTACCTGAAGAGAACATGGGGAGAACATGCAAACTCCACTCAGAACAACCCCGGGTGGTGGAGTTGAACAGTTTGACCAGTCAGCGTTTCCTGTATCCTTCAAGTAGTATGGAGTCCACTTTGTAAGAAGCAATAAAGTCAGAAAAAAATCAAACTTAAAAGAATAATTTTACCATTTCAAACGTTGAAGTGCAAGTAGATTAGAAGGATCACACAGGAAAGGCTCGGTGAGATAGTGAGTAAATCTCTGGGGTTCTCTGGCTTGCTTGTGACCTTCTTTTATTTAAATAGTGTAGAATCCACAGTATTTCATAAGGTAAAGGCTTTTGTATCTAAGTATTCATGGATTAAACCCAACATGCTGAATGGTTCGATGAAAGCCGTCATGTTTAAGGAGCTCTGGTTAATTGTGGATGATGAGGAAGTTGTTTACATAAAGGATGCTTCTGACATGCCAGTGTTAAAGACCGTCCACCAGCACGTTTCAAGTATTAACACAGTTTTGATGTTTTCCATGCTGAAAAAGGTAGAAGCGCTGACATTTGCTTTGTTGCTGTGAAACAAAATCCAAAGAGAAGAAAAAGTTTGATGACTCACCACTTGAAAAGACAGAGTGAAAAAATTAACATCTCTCTACTGCACTGTTAGATAATTAAATTGCCCTATAGTGCTCCTTTGGAGCTTAATAGTTTAAAAAGTAAACAGCTCAGTGGTAGGCTTTGCATGCATATCTCCTTAACCAAATTAGTATGGAAATGCTAAAACATGGTTAATGAAGCCACTTTAGAAACCCCCTCGAATACATCTTCAATTTAATGGATTTAGCAGAGTGATACATGTATGCACAAATATACATGTATCAATTATAGAATGTCTTATGGAAAATGCCATAATTACTGCAGTCAGGGTGTTCTCTATTAGCCGCTAATCCAAATTGAACAGAATTTGGTTGAAGTGGAGAGGATTCAGTGCCAACACATTGGGGGAAGAAGACGGATCAGTCATCCATTATTGTTATAGGTGCATTAGAGTTGTAACTTGTGGCATTCGAACAAGTTAAAACAAAATTTGACTGGAGTTCAATAACATGAATTACCAGAAAGCACAATGAGAGCAGCCAATCTGCTGCACTCACTAAAATAGTTTTCAAAGAAAAAGCTCAGTCAGTCAAAGAAATCATGTAGCACATGCTTTTACAACACTAAATGTGTCTCTGCATCATATAATCCCTCAGTGAGACTTTTTCTTGGTATTTTTGGTCACAGTTATACATCTTCAAGGGACTTTTTGTTGGAGGGGGAAAAAAAGCCCCATACTCTGGCAGAAGACCTGAGGCTGTTTGCACTGCTTTGTAAACGTCTGTAATATATTTCTTGATTTACAGAATACAGCGTTCGAAGAAACTGCATTCAGCCACATGATAAAGCATATTTCCAGCTCTGTAATATTTGAGCAGTGTCATGCAGGTCATTCATAAGGAAATGCTAATGTCCCCATCACATGCAGGAGTGGATCTGATAAGGAACAATCGGATAAAAACAACATGCAAAAAAGCAAAATAAAAATAAATAGAAATGTAAATACAAGTGAACAAAGTTAAATAATCATATACAGAAAAAAATGTGACCTTCCTGGAATAGACCTCGAATCGATATGCTTGCTTCTTTGTACTCATATTTACCTGCATGCATGCTGGGACATGTGCAAGGAGGGAAAAAATAACCCAAAAAACAAATACAATCAATCATTATTTAAATTGGCAGAATTTTAGATTTAGTCACCAATGCAAGCCGACAAAGGTGATGTCTGTTCTACAAAACCATATACTTTAATTGGGATGTCGAATGACTCAATGGGCTGCTGTTTATTTTTTATGCAGTACACCACCATCAAAGGGACAAAAAAGAACAGAGATTTTATTTATTTCATTTCTCCACATTGGTATTGCCAAGGACAGTCTGTTTCCTCTTCCTGATTACCGTGTACAAAAAACGAAACCACGGGATGAGGTTTTGCATTTTGTTGTATTTTCCCAGTAGAAAGCCGCTTCATTGACGTTTCAATTATCCTGTATTCTGTGATATTTTTGTCGCTTTTTGTATCTGATCTACATCAGTTCATGGTGAACTTGTTTTCTAACACAAAAATAAAATAACTAATTAATAAGTGCTGCACTTTAATGCAGCCAGGCTCTCAGGTAATCTGTATTGCTCTTGAGTAGCTACTCTTGCTATTCCCTGCTGTAATCCCTGCTGCACGTATTGGCTTGATTTACTGTTCTGTTTTGCATTTGCCTGTGGCCAGGTTTGAAAGGAAATGAGTTGACAGTTCTGTCTAATATCAATCTATTCTGTGTCTTTTTTGGGGGAAATAACTTCTTTAAATGTGCATGTTTCACCTGTTCTTTCACTTATTTTAATTTATATACACCTTGAACTTACATAAAGAATGTGTTTGTTGATAATGATATTGATTTTTCTCTACAGTAATTTTTAATATTTATTTGAGAACAGTGTACAAATAATGGCCATAAAACAAAATAATTGACTACAAACTAAACAAGACTTCTGCCTGTCTCTGAAACCTTTTGCACATTCAGAACACGACTCTAGAGAATCCTGTACACTTAAACTATGTTATCAAGACTGACTGAAAACCAGCACATCGGCAACATTTCCTTATGATTGCAAGCAAAAAGCCGCTTTAGGCATGGATAAAAAGGCTGTATGAATGTGTTTGTGATTGGGTGAATGAGAACTCACCAAAAATGGTGATGGTGCCAATGTTTAGCTCAGGGCTTTAAAACTGACAAGTGGGTGACGTTACAGTTGCTATTTCCATGTTTTAAATACTGTCTACAGATAAAACTGGCTTGCCTTAGCTTAGCTTGCCTGCTAACTGGAACAAACTGGTTTAAGTCTGTGTTTAGCCAGACCTCTGCAGATGTTAGTGACATCAGTGGTCTAGTATCAGTGGACACCACTACTAAGCTACCATAGTTATGGAAATCTGAAATAAATCAAGGTGCACACAACCAGGCTGCCTTTATGAGAAGTGTTGCCTTGGAAAAGAGGTCAACAACAGCATGACGAGTGACT